TTATGTCGATTGCGCAATACAAGAGGGCTATGATTTCATTCGCTTAACTCATGCTCGTTATCGACCAAGGCTATCGATTTCAAGAGCCACAACTACGGTCACATCGCGGTCGTGCGAAAATCACCGTCTCGTCTGTGAAACTGAACACACGAGGCTAAATGGGTGACTGGCTGCCTGGCATACCTCCATTCATAACAGTACGGGAGAGAGATGCGTGTGGGACAGAAGCGACCAGCATGTAGCAATTTGTGGTTCGTGTGATTTATTATCAACGGCCCTCGCGTCCCATTGTGTATATTCTGCGTGATGTAAACCATGTTGCCTAACTGAATGGGCATTAGTTATACCTCGGACTAGCTGAAACGATGGGCACCACGCTGCATTCCGATTCGCGTTTTTCGATAACCTCTCCTCCGCTTTTCATGTTCCGTCCACTACTCATCAAGTGGGATGAAACTCGTTTTCTACCTGTGGATCCCTTATCCATACAGAGTTCTACAGCCAATTTCCTGCATGCCCAGAAGGAACATGAGAGGGTTAAACTAGCCAACAGGGTTGCGATGACAGTACCCATATAGGCCTTTCTTAGTTTTCAGTCGTCATTTCCCCTTCCTTTGAATGGTTCAACAATGCTTTTTCAGCCTCCTAGTCTTAGTGATTCCAAATTCTTGCCCGGCTTTTGAAAAATTATTCAAATTTAGGAAAATAGAAAAAAGACCCCTTTGCGGTCAACCTGGCACTTCCTGAATGTCTTTGCGTCTTTCGAAATTGTGATTCGCTAGTTCCCTATGATTTCTGCGATTATGTCATTTTGGAGACCCCCTCCATTTTTAGCGTTCCATTCCTGATCCTTTAGAACATTTTTGGCTGTTACTATAAAGTATCTCATTGCCATTCCAACACAACAATGATAGTAGGCGTGTTGCTTGAGCTTTCAGTAGTAGAACCTCGGGAAGGATCTGCTAAAACATCAGAACATCAGTGCCACCGTCTCTCCGCCCTCCTCCTGCGCCTCCCTGCTGCTCCTCCTCCCCTTCGCCTCCACTGGCCGTCCACACGGCTAACTTAAAAGACACTGGCTGACATATGAGCCATTGTATGACCAGTGCTGATTCTTAGCTGCAGATGTACTTTCCGGAACTTTGCACATGTTTGAGGTCATTTGCAGTCACTGAGGTGAAACTCCTCCTTGCCTTTGTGTTATCCTAAACTCGCTTTTCGACTTCATGCTCATCTGAACCTCCTCTAGTTGATGATCTCACCTATTACCTAGTCCCTTTTCATCATACACGTACTGCAAAAGGGAGAGCTACTTGCTTCTATTCACAGATCCTCGTTTCCGCTTGTTCGCAGCTTCTCATCGGATTTGTACGCCTCGATGCAGGTCTTATGCAAATACCGTATTAGGTTTAGTATGCGGGACATATGGAATGGGGCAAAATGCTTATTACTCCGCCATGCTAAAGCTCCATTAAAAGCATAAGTATTGAGCGCGATGCAGTGTTAATTGTTAAGAGCATTTCCTAGCCACGGCCCAAGGACAACTTTACCATTAAAAAACCCCCTTATTTGTTTGAATGTCTGTAGGGCTGGGAGACTTAACTCCACTGAGTTTAACTATTTGAATGTTTTTTTTATTTTACCTCCTCCGTATAATGTTCGTTTTGACGTAGTTCGTTTCGTACGTATTCGGCCAGGGTAACAGCTTGTTTTGAAGTATTTTCCTTCGTCCAGTGGGTTTCGATTCCAACCTCAACTCACAGCTCTGCTCACGTCCATCGTACCTCAACACTTCGCGCCTAGTCTTGGAATTGAATCCCGTTTGCCAGCACCAACAAAAGACCTCTGCTTTAATCTACTTATGAAACGAGTTGGCTCGAATTGTTGAGTCGTCCACATTCTAACTTTTTGGCCTTCGTAGCGAATCATCTGACCATTCATTTCTCGTTCGATTTCTACATATATTTCTATATTTCATTTGTATTCTCTTTTTTGAGTTCAGCAATTTGTTATCACTTTCCTTATTACCTCCAAGCTAGGTGGGCGAATTTTCGAGCACAGTTTGTATCCACATGTACACCTGTCATGGCATATTTGCCCTCGTATTTTTATTACTGAATTTCCGTTCACCTGAACTTTCTTGTTGATCTGTTCAAAGCACTTTGACTGCAAAATAAGTAAAGAACATGAACCCTCTGGCTTCATCTGGAAAAATAGCCTTGTGAGGATTTCCGAGATAAGTCCGAGAGTGGACGAGACTGCCCTCTTATGTTGGCAGTAATCATTTGAAATACCAATTACTTGTCGATGCAAAGTTGAGTGAGTGCTTTGGGTGGGATAGACCATTGCGCTAAAGAGCTGTGTGACATGCAGCTGGCCCAGAGGGTTCGCATTTACATGTATGGAAGGCAACCTCATTAATCACGGCTCTCCAACATCTATCGAGACCGACTTCGTTATTCATAAGCTCTTTGAGTTCTAAAATTTATCTCGGGTACAGCAGATAATGTGGGACCCACTACACTACCAGCTACGTCCGAATCGGTTCTCCATCCCCTCATTTTGTTTCAAATGACTTCGGAATAGCCTTGTGAGAACTTTCAGTTCCACAACGAGATTTGCTGTCCACGATTCCAAAGATTATAACATTCAGTTTTTTTGAGTACTTTTTGAAGAACGTCGACATTGCATCCTCAAATGGGACTTTTTCCTCGCCAAAGTAGTAAAAATTCGCTCTAGCCATTAGCAGTCAGTGTTTGACCATCAGGCTAAATTCGCTAGCAATCATTTTTTTAGCCGACTGCCCATGATTGTGTTGAGGTAATTTTCGACAGGAGGAGGAACGAGATGACGCGCGTTTCGAGAGCACTTTCCACATGCGATTTTGCGACACTAATTACACGGGTGCATCTTACAACAACCAGCTGCCTCATGTGCGCGGTCTTGATGCCCCTCTCATCCGCCTTTATGGCTCATATGCGCTCATTGACACTGTTCAACCAGTCTAGACACTGGCCGCATCCCCACTCTACCCGCCGGTCAGCACCGGTCGCTAGCCGCTTCTCAGGAAGTCATTTCTGTTTAATGAGGAAATGAAGCGATTGTATTGTCGTCGAGGGCTTATTAGCCACCGCCTTCGGGCTTGTTTTGCAACGAGGGCATTTTCACGATGAACACAGCAGCCGTCCGAAATTTCATCCCCACAACCTTGCCCATTTCTTAAGTATGAATGACTGCGAATACCAAAAAATCCATTCTCGTATTTCATAACGATCGTGCCGTAGTCGTTGTCGTCATTTAGTCGTTGAACGAAATCGCCAGCCTGCGATGTATGTAATGGTCCGTTGTAAAATGTGTTTATTAGTGATTCACGCACTGCTTTATTATGCAACGAACATATGTTCCGGTTGAGGGTGAGAGGAGCTCGGGCAGTCAGCCAGAGTCACTCACTAGCGATGATTGCGCTTTTGCCTCAAGCACAACTTGTCATAGATGAAACCTATACTGTGGTTAGAGAGCCTGTTACACTACTGATCGACCTACAGGCTCTTGGGAAGGTCTGTAGGGAAACCAGCCACCAGCGCAGCGATAATTCCTTGGCTACACATTACATTTCCCTGATTTTTTTTCTCGATCGTAATTCTAGCACCGATTGTACGATGAACGGTAATCGCTGTGGTTAGGTAACCACGGAGGGCACGACTCGGTGTGATTCGCGCTAAGCCCTTTCTTTCTTTTCCGTACGAACGGACCAGCTATTCGTGTGACAGTTGTTTTCGCGTGTGATTCGTTGCTTTGTCCGATTTCAATTAATCGTACTGACCGTTTATTTCGTTCGTTGTCAAGGCCCGCACATTTGTCGTCGTGGTCCGGTGGCCCGTACGGGCAACACCCTGGTAATTCATCTCGTCATTCGCGAGTTTTGTGAGTTCAAACCAGTTCCACTTCTCACGTTGACGGTCCTCTCTGTGATACATTATACATGCCGATGGTGATTGTTCCAGCTGATGGCATACTGGTTCTCTACGCAACCTTTAGGGCTCAACCGCGATCACTAGAAACATTGTGATCTTCCGATCGATAAGTGACCAGGGGTGATTACGTAAATGCTCTATTGGCGCCTATTTTCTCAACCACCTGCTAAAATCTCCTGAATTGATCGTTACATTTCACTGCAGCTCTTCCATTTCTCTCGTTACTGTTGGTGGTCGTCATCGACGTGTGTCATTGAACTCGTCAGTGGCTATCAGTGTGATCAGAACTGACGCATATTTTCATCATCGGATTTTCCTTTTCACTGTTCGTTTTCTTCGCTTTGGCGTTGCCGGTGAGCTCGTGTTGTTTGTTGAGAGTGATGTGCGAATAATCCTTTGATTGCTGCACTCTGACCTCTACCAGTTCGCTCTCTCCTTCTCCTCCTCTCACTGGTTCTTGTTCGACCTCAAATCCAAGTGCACGAATGAGCGGCTAACTAGTGTTGGGGTTCGAGGTTGTTCGGGCAGGGCAGGGGGTACACTTGGAAGAAAATCGCTTGTGCTTGCTGCGGTCAATGCCCAAAAACAAGCCGACTTAATGAGTTTATTCAGTTTGCGGCCAGCGTTGCGCACATTCTGATTCGATTTGGGCAAAAAGTCATGTCGACGAGGCACGTTGATAACCTCGAAATGCCCCCTCATCGTCCAGTGTCTTGCCAGCCAGTTCGTGCCCATCGCTCGTTCTTCTTATCGCTTACAACGAAGCCGTGGTGTTTTCTGCACATCCATATGCAGCTAGCGCCTTATGGAATCTTTTTTAACACAGCAGTGCTGAGAAGATTTCCGGACGAGATTCAATTTGCACCACTTGTAATGAATGCACTTCTTTCTCCATACTAATACTCGTGGAGAGAGAAGAATCAACGGGAAAATCGCTGCTGCCGTCCGTTAACTGCACATGCTGCCGTTGCCGTAACTAGTCGTCAAATTTCGTTTCAGGATCATCACACGAACACTGCACAACACATGCGAGAACTCTTACTAATATTGTTACTAGTAGTCCCTATATCAACGTCTTTATCACAAGTGACAACGCCAATGCAAGGGCAATGCCAGGCGGTCTGTCTGAATGAGGTATGTGGTGATGAGTGACTAGCTGATGGCGGCTTTCTAGCCTTCTGGCCACAACCTTATCCACCCACTAAGCACATTGTCTGATAATTTCTTCACCATCACATTACGTGCACCAGATGTTAGCCAAACGGCCGGAGTGAGCTCGCCGCAAGTCCGACTGAAAGAGATTAAGTATGCTGGCAAAAACTAAGGGGGCGAAAATGTGGTGGTGATGGCTGTGGCGGCGATGGCGGTAGTGTTAATAGTAGTAATACCATTAGGCTTCTGCTTTCAGTACGCTTCTCTTGAAAGAATTCTTCGCACTGGACGGAAGTGGATATCGCGAAGCAGACGCGGTGAATAACAGCGATTTCGCATTGGTGAGGAGGCAGTGATCGATTTTTATTCCAAAACTTGTTGGTCACAACAAATCGTGTTTCAGTGTAAACTCGGATGTGGATCACCAGGATTCACCGAGTTGAAATTGGAGCCGTTCAAACGAGGCCAAACGGTGTATGGTACGATCATCAATCAGCGCGAATCGAGCGGTCAGTCGGCTTTGAACTCTGCAATTTAGCGCGGACGTTATGCAATTACGAGGATTGGAGGAAGGAGATTTAAGTGATGTGTGATGGGACGAAATTCCAGCCTCTCCTACGATGGCATCTACGTCCTCACCGGTTCAGAGTGTGACGCTACTATGCGCTGATAGCGCTGAAAACAACGGCAGCGTCTTTTGGAGAGTCGCACTTGATCTTAGGAACGACAGTGATGACGGTATGATGGCACACTGGATAGATGCCGTTCGAAGAACGAATGACGACGAAACCACAGATACGGTCGTCTTTGGTACTTGGGTAAGTATCTCTATATTCTTACTAAACTGTGCATTCAATCCGGAATTCGTTTTAACCCTTTCCGGACCGCCTGACACCCATGGGTGTCAGGGACTATTTTTCCGAGGATACGGTTTTTCGACAAAATCTTTTATGTTGTTACATATCTATGTAAGATACTCATGTCGTACGTATGAAAAAACCTAGACTTCAACCTCAAACTAGTTCCTAAAATAACTAAATACTAAATGGATGTCCACTTTGAGCTCAGAGAAAACAGTTATAAATCATTTGAAAACACTTCATACAACAGAATTATGACACCACGTGCATGTCGTATCTGATGCTATTAAATCCAAACGTTTCGGACACTTTCTGGTCCCTTTTTCCCCATTACAACTTATTTTGAACAATTTTCATTCCTGCCTCCCTTTTTATGGCCCTATCACTTTTATTACACGACGGTTTTCTGTCATATTCACTACATATATACTCTTAGACATGACAAATACAAAAACGGGACAAAGTAATGATTTTAATGGAAATACAGATCAAATATATGATATTTATGCGCGCTGCGCAGCACGCGGCGATGAGCATAAAAAGGCGCGGTCCGGAAAGGGTTAA